TGGGCCAATATCTGCACTGGAAAATCTGCAACTTCTACAGGAGGGAAACTGATAGAAACTGATATGAACACTAACCAGACCCGGTTACGGAGATAGGACCTGTTACAATTCTATGGGACTACAAAATACACACTGACAGAACAATCAAGGCCAACCACCCAGATATTGCTATTAAAGACCACAAACAAAAACCGTGCCTCCTTATTGATATGGCAGTCACTGCTGACTGTAATGTATCTTTAAAGATATTCAAAAAGTTGTCAAAATACAAGGAACTTGAAATAGAAATCTCGAAAATGTGGCATATGGGAACATCAACAATCCCTGTTGTAGTTGGAGCCCTAGGACTGGTTGGAAAAGATTGTAGTAGACTAATTGAAGGGATTCCTGGAAGTCCATGCCTCAAGGAGATACAAAAAATTGTTCTGACAAGTACAGCCCACACTTTACGAAGGGCTTTATCTATGTATTTTTTTTTTTTTTTTTTTGTCTGTGGAAAGTGTCTTGACGCCATTTCTAACCTTAGTTCCCTGGGCGGGACCCGGAAAGAAATGTGTAAACACCAGAAATCAAAGAAAATAAAAATAATAATAATAATAATAATAATAATAATAATAATTGTAGTTCCATTTTCTTTCTTTCTTTTTCCTACTGATACCAAACAGCTTCACATATGTGTCTTATTGTCATCCTATAGATCAAAACGAAAAAGACTATTCTTTATGAAATATTTGCAGGACGTAATGTACAAGCTAACGAACTAATTAATGAACAAATAGATTAATAATAATAAGAAGAAGAAGAAGAAGAAAAAGAAGAAGCTGAAAACGTGGGCTTCATTCTTGCTGCACAGAGCTAATGATTGCTAACTAGAAATTGGCAAGCAGACATACTGAAAAATGTTGTTAACACGAAATAGAGATTCTGTGATAAATATCCAAAATCAATTGACCATCTTGAAGGAAGTTGTCACGGTGTTAATACTTACTGAATATAACATTCGGCATTATAGGTTGGGATAATATCAGCAATAGAAAATATGCAACTTTTACGGGAAGGAAATTTCAAGAAACTGGTATGAACATCACACAAACCTGATTAAAGAGAGAGGGAACCTGTAACAACGGGACTTTACAATTTAGGTTGCCATTATTTTTTAATGTTATTAACCAGTGAAAAATTCATGTTGCCATTGCTGACCTTATGCGTCTGGTTGGGACTCAGAAGGAAATGGTTATACAACAGAAATCAAAGGAAACAACAACAACAACAACAGCAACAACAACAACAACAACAACAATAATAATAATAATAAAAATAATAAAAAAAATAAAAATAATAATAATAATTTTGTATAATAGTAGCAGATGTCAGTGCATGGTATAGGCTTATCAGACTGAATACTATGAGGATATATTGGTCTTCTTACATTTGTATCCTCGCGGTATTTTTTTTGTGTGCACTCACTCAATAATAATAACGATGATGATGATTATTATTTAGTTTATATATATATATATATATATATATATATATATATATATATATATATATATATATATATATGTCTGTTAAAATGAGATGTCAGTGTTAATTTCATTTTTGCATAATTTAAGCGACAATTCGTGCAACGTGTATATTTGTAGTCGACTTTTGTGTGATCCGCATATTTCTGGACGACTTGCATATCATCTGGCCACCTAACTCCCCAGAATGCAATTCCTTTGATTACTTATTATGTGTGAAACGCAGTTTAGCGATAGACCAACCATCAAAAAACTTTGTAACACTAAAGATGAACTGAAGAACAAGATTATGTCAACATTCAACAACTTAATCAGGAGACCGTCCAAAAGAGATGCAAGAAATTCCGAAGTCGACTGGAGTTCGTGGCTGAAGTCAATAGCGATTTTATTGAATAAATTTACTCTTTAATATTTCAGGATATTTTTCTGTAATTTTGGAAAATATATCTGTTGATATGTCAGTGTTATTTTCATTTTTACGTAATCTAGATGACATTTTATCCATCGCACACTGTATATCTGCCACCTTCTGTCGTTCACCTTGATATGTGACGTGTAACTGGAGCGGAAAACGAGTGAAGAAGGTTTGGTTTGGTTTTACGGTATATCAACCTCAATGGGTTATTTAATGCCGACATTTTTAAATGTATTGCTGATAATTTTTTTTCCACAAAAATTTATTGCTGTTAATAATTGTTTTACAAAGTATTTCTGGTATTAAAACCTATTTTTACACTTGCATAGTGTTTTGACTCAAGTTCGGGGGTTAACTATTTACTCATAGCTGGGACCCTAGATGTTACCCCCACGAGTCATGAGATTATCATATTTGGAAGAATTATATCGTCTTGAATAGCATAATCGGAGCCATTGATGGAAGCTCAGATCAAAAAAAAAAAAAGAATCACCAAAAGAACATGTTAAGAAAATTGATAACAATTCCTAGAATTTGGTCTACGAAAAGAGACGAAAGCAGAGGAATAAAAGCAGAACTCTGTTTTATTATTTCATTCCAAGAGTTTGGGTTTTGTTTTGTTTTACGGCATATCAACTTCAATGGGTTATTTAAATCCAACACGATTATTAAGATAGGCTCGTATGAATATAATATGTATTCTTTGTAATAATTCAGTTCGTAGAAGATCAGGTTTGATTGAATTATTTTTGTAAAGTGTTTTTTTGTCGAGAATCAAATGTATGTGGTAATTTATTTATTTTCAAAATGTATTGATGGTATTTCTTCAAAAGGTATTGCTGGTATTATTTTTCTTCAAAGATATATTTCTCGTAATATTTTAAAAAATCTATTCCTGATAATATTTTTAAAATAATCTATTGCTGGTAATGTATTTATTAAATGTATGGCCGATTCAAAAATGTATTTCTGGTATTTTTACTATAAAATTCTTTTTAATACTTTCGTGGTATTGTGAGCGCAGTCCGGGGGTTAAATATTTGCCCATAGCTGGGACCCTAACAGGTGCTACCACTCTAGGTCAGGGTGGATCTGGGAACACCAGCAATTAAGTGGTTCCACGCTCCTCAAAACATCCTGATCAGAGGCCTTGCTGTCAGATGTAGTTTGTCGTCATATCCAGGATGGTGAGGAAAGAAGAAATAAAACAAAGCCATCCACTACGAAAAAGAAATCACGTTACAAATTTTGTTCTTTCAAAAATAAAATCTTTGCCGCCACTGAATATGATTCTTTTCAAACAAAAGAAGAAATGTCTTCAGACAACGAGATGAAATTTAAATATTCCACGTATTCAAAAGTTTTTTTTCACTCACAATTTCTTGTCGAGCAACGTTGCTGATTTATTTCACACAGTTTTGCCAGAGGCTCTTTGCAAAACTGAAACGCCATTGATGAGTGTAAAATTAATTTAAAAGCGGGAAGATTCATTTTATAAATTATTATGAATAATCAATGTTAATTGACAAATGAGAATTAATTGAAATATGCAATGTTACTACAAAGGCGTGGGCGTGGTGTGATGGTGTAAAACGGGGGTTCTGAGTTCAAATTCCGACTGAGCTCACTTTTACAATAATATCATTTGGAAAGATATGAATCCATCTTTTTCCCTCCAACTATGGGTTAAATAGTAGGTCAGACTGGGTTCACTGGCCTTCGTTGACAATTAGTTCAATAGGAAGATAAAATTTCCAATCGATTGTAAGTGCAGCTTCCAACTTCATGTCGAAAAATCTACTTGCAACAGAAACCAAAGCAGCAAAATTAGCGTGATGGGGATCTCTCCCTATTCTTCACAAGGGTGTCTCATGGCACCTAAGGAGGATGAAATATTACTACAAGTATTGTTAAAACACTTCCCGCTTCATGATAATAAAGAAGTTGAAAGACTATATTGAATTGCAAGGTCAGTTGCTACGAAAGTTGGTTCACTGTCGTGCTAGACAATTTACCCTATCCAGTCCCCTCCAAACGTATTGTAATGGCAAGGCCAAAGCCTTTGTTTTTGTTGTCCACTGAAGATATTATGGTTTAAGATCAAAACATGAATATAAGGTAAGAGTTCAGGAATTCAGCTTTTATTCCCCGGTATTTATATTTAGATGTGATAAACAACTTAGGACATACCACCTTTTATTTGAACCCACCCACTTTTCAAATGAGCAAAACTATTGGAAAACGTCACTGATAAGTTAGTCTTGTAGTTGCAATATTTGTGGGGGTGTATAAGTCTACCATTCGCCTATGCTTAGAATATTGTCTCCACATATGGTCTGATTTTTTTGAGATCCTTCATAAAAATCTAAAGTATCAGTAATATTATGTTCTGTTATGGTGTCTCGGCTTTAGTCTCTTTCCCACTGCCGTAAATTTGTTTCTCTATCCTTTTTCTATAAATACTTTCATGGTAATTGTTCGGATGAGTTCTTTGCTATGGTATCTATACTTAATGAATTTAAGCGCAGTACTAGGTTCTCGATGATATCTCATCAATTTTTAGTTGATTTGGCTAGATATAACCATAAATTCTATCCTAGCAGTTTTTTCTCGCATTTCTCACTTGTGGAACTCCCTTCCTGCTCCATGCTCTCCAGTCAACTTTAATCTTAAATGCAATGTCAATCGCTATCTACTGTCATCCTGGTTACTCTTCTTTTGTTCTCGCTCCTGAAAAATAAATAAATATAAGGTTCTTAGTTCATTTGTTTTTTTTTAAGGATTATCAACTTTTACAGGTTATTTAAAGCCAGATATTTTTCTTAGATTGTAACAATTTTTCTGAGATAATAAGAATTTACTAATACAAATTCTACTAAGTAACTATAAAAACAATAGAGGGGGGGCGGGGAAAAGATACGGATTCAAATCTTTCCCAATGGTATTTGCGCGTAAGGGAATATACTGAAACTGGCTGGAATAGGACTTGAAAGTGGATCTCCGGTTTCAAATTCCGAGTCGTTATGAATTACCCCATCCGAACATCCACGCTTAAAGGTCCTGCTATTCCCAAGTTGTCACCCATCCTGGTACTGAGTGGACTCAACGTTGCTTATCTTCAGTGATCGTACGTGAACTAGTGCTTCAACGTGTCATTTCTGTAAGTCTTGTATTGATTAGTGTAAAAATAACTAAAGATTATAATAAGGATGATTTCAATCATCTTTTTGTGTTGTGTCTCCTCAGGACATAGGCGATCATGGCTTTCCATATTTTCCTAATTTAATAAACACATTATGATTTCAATGCAATCTGCATTACTATAGAAACGATAAAAAAATATATTTTTTGCGGGCATTATTCTTTTCTTAGCTAAAGCTTTTAAAGGTAACTCCCTCAATTACATTCATACAGAGACACATCGTCATGTTGCCTGAAAGTGCCAAGTGATGTTAATGTCTTCCGTTCCCATTAATCCTAGTGGTCGGAGTAAGCTGATTTTGGAAGAATTGTAGTGAAAAAGACGGGATACATCCATTATATACCACTAAACCATTCACTGCGAGCTACACAGAAAAAAAAACCTATGAGAAACAAATATTAAGTAAGAGATGTATAAACGTGATTGGTGTATAAAATGTCCCTACCTGAAATGTACAATTTTATGAGACATTTTTTCAGGAAGATGAAATATGTACTGAAGGCTTTATTTTAAGAGACATCAATATGTCGTCTTTCGAACCGAGGAAGAAAAAAATGGCAAAGCGTCGTAAATCAACTTCCGGTGAGAGAAAAAAGAGCGATTCTCATTTATTTATTTATACATATATATATATATATATATATATATATATATATATATATATATATATATATATATATATATAAGCAAACGTAATATCTATTTTGGGGTTTAATATTAGCTAAACTACACAAAATTCATACTTAATGGACAAAAACTTATTTTTTTTGTTCTAATTTCAACTAAAGAAATCAAATAATTTAAAGGAGCTAAGCGAAAACTTAAGATACAATAATAAAATTTATTAACTTACCGGATAAATATTTCTAACAAGTAATTGAGATAAAAGCAATATTCACAGGAAATAAGTTAAAATTAAGTATTAAGTAAGTTTCTTTTTCTTATTTACCGTAATTCCTCATGTAATTCTCGCCTTCATCCATAATACACACATTTAAAATTGTGCTGAAAGTGTTGGAAAATTCTTCTACTCATACATAATACGCACCTCTTGTTTGATCCTCAAACCCTATAAATTGTAGCTCTCCAATTTCATTATGGCCAGCGTTTTCTACTCATTTAAAAAATGGTTTTAAAATAGAATAATATTATTTTAATTTAGTTTTATGATTATTATTATTTTATTTTAAAGGAATATTTTAAAAGATTTCTTGTAGCTGTGCATAATACGCACCCCTAATTTTGCTTATTATTTTTTAGAATAATTGCGTATTATACATGCGGAATTACGGTATTTGAAAGTAAACCAAATTCTTTTCAATGACGATAGGAATTAGTGAACAAAACCTTTCAATAAAGTTCCGTCCCAGGAAAATAACAGTTCTGTTTATCCATAGCCAATAGTCAAGTTCTTAATTAAATGAATATGATTTTTGTGTTTGCATTTTTTTAAGTAAAGGAATATCCACCATTTGCAAGAAAATAAAATGTATGGCTGTCAGCAAAAGACATAGCCTAAGACTTCAGCTACGAAATGGAGTCGTCAAAATCAAGCAAGGACAGAAATTTAACTATCTTGAAAGTGTTGCAACAGAAAACAGGAAATATGACACCGAAATCCGAAAAGAGCATTCGAATTGGGAAATGTAACTTCCAAAACCTAAACAAAATATTAAGAAACGGAAAATTTCGTTAGAAACATATGCAGAACTCTATTAGAAAATAATCATTTGTCATGTAAAACTGCTTTTTTTATTCATTAAGCTATGCACATTTTATACCTATGTGTATTTGCAATTTGACTGAACATACAGAAGATTTAGCACAGAAATCCACAGGCATATTACAATAGTGAAATATACCTTCAAAATATAAGAAAAATAAAGGAGGAAAAAATTCCATTAGAAAAGCGTACTGAACTGTGATGTAATATCAATCTCCCTATATAACAGTGTATGTTGGATAGTTAACTCAGGGATGAAGTTACTTCAAGCAAATGAGATGTGATTCTACAGAAGAATATCATGAACAGAACATGAGAGGAACAAGGCAGTTTTAGGGAAAATAGGAAGAAAAGAGACATTTTTAACTGAGCATCCAAAGAGGATAATTAAGATTTCTGGGGTACTAAAGAAGGCTTGGAGAATTTGACACTCACAGCATATACTGAAGTTAAGATGAGCAGAGGGAAAGAGTGAGTCACCTGCCTAAGGATCTTGTGTAAATGGATGGCAGAACAGAAACTGGGGTGGATAGAAAATGGGAAAAAGCATTTGTAAAATTTCTTAAACTACAGCAGATAAGATATCGTTGAGAGCTATTAAAAGACGATGAATGAATTAAGACTATACGTACGAACCCAGGAAATATTCGTCTATAAAAAGAAGAGACTCATCTCCGTGTTTAATATGCGCACTCTCCGCTCCGATGATAGTATCCCGATATTTACTATATATGTTTATTTAAAAAACATTCTGTCGAAATTTTACGCGCGATAATGTTGACGTAATGTTTCCAATAGCAACGCAGTTGTACAACAATTGAATGATCAGTTATCCGCATTCCTACTCGATTGGAATATGACACTTTCTCCAATTTGCTGTGAGATTCTACACGTACATAGGTAAAGTGACAAAAATTGACCGACTCAACTTGGCCCTTCTGCTTTTGGGGATACATCGTGCGCCAGATAATGACACTAGCACCCCCACCAATAAAGATCTAATGCCTGGGTCGAAAGCCCCACTGGACTCGAGCATCTAATATTAAATTTAAGCCCCTCCAGTACGCTAATTTATTTAAGTATTTATAACTACCTTATTTGCCGGCGTCAAGGACATAGTTTATTCAATAAAATAATTCTCGAAAACTAGCATAACATCAGGCATAGATAAACTTCCTCTGGTGTTATCGTTGGCTTACGAAAACCCTAACCTTCTTCCTTAAAGAGGCACGTCAAATTTTCTAGACATATTTCTTTAACGCCAGTAGATACGGTATTATGTTTGAAGAAATTTTCTTTGAATTAATTTGATTTATTTAGAACCGCGAGAATCAACCATATATTTTGGAAATATACCAATAGTTTTATTGACTAGGACACAAAACGAAATAACTTAAAAATCAAAAATTCTTCACTTTATTTGTTCCTTATTTTACCACTGCCCTCCTCATTCTCCTTTCTTCAATTCATAAAAGTATCTTCCCTGTAACTTTTCTATAAACATTTTGATGGTAATTGTTCTGATAAGCTTTCTTCTTTGGCATATCGATTGGATTGGCAGCTAAGTCCTATCGTTTTTACAGTTTAAATTGCTAGTTGCAACCGTAGATTATATACTACCAGTTTCTCTCTAGTGGACTCTTGCATTTCAGTCAACATTGATCTTCAACAATTTAAATACAATGGCAATGATTATTTTGCGTTCTTAATTCTTATTCTTTTTTTTCTTCTCTCTCTTTACTAATGTTTTTTTCCGTTTTTTTTTTATTCCCTCACAATCAGTAACCTCTTGTCTTTGAAGTTTTATTGCCTTTCTTGGGGTGAAATGTCATCCAACCATTTATGACTATAAACTACATCATCTAGCAAGGACTCTGTTCAGGAGGCTTTTATTATCGTGGAACCAACTCTTAATTGCTGTCGTTCCCAGATCAAACATGACCCAGGGTGGTAGCATCTGTTAGAGTTCCAGCTATGCTCAAATATTTAACCCTCGAACTGGGGTCAAAACACCATGAAAGTATAAAAAAATGATTTTTATAGTAAAAATACCAGAAATACATTTTTGAAAAAAAGATTATCGGACATAATAAACACATTACCAGCAATAGATTCTTTTAAAATATTATCAGGAATAGATTTTTTTTTAAATATTAATAGCAATACATTTTTGAAGAAAAATATTACCAGCAATACCTTTTGAAAAAAAAATACCATCTATACGTTTTTGAAAATAAATAAATTACCATATGCATTTGATTCTCGACAACAAAAATAAGTCAATGAAACCTGAACTCCCACAAACTGACTTCTAACAAAGAATATATATTCTATTCATACGAACCTATCCTAAAAATCTTGTCGATTTTAAATAACCCATTGAGGTTGATATACCGTAAAACAAAATAAACCCAAACTCTTGGAATGAAATAATAAAACAGTGTTCTCCTTTTCTCCCTCTCCTTTCGTCTCTTTCGTAAACCAAATTCTAGGAATTAATTTTCAATTAAATCAATTTTCTTTATATTCTCTTTTGATGATTCTTTTTGAGATCTGAGCTTTTAATTGTTCAATAAAACAACCGTAATCAACGGAAAGAAAACGTAAAAGAAAAACTTCATGACAAGGAAATATCAGATAGACTTTTGCCAATAACAAGAACTTTTGACAACATCTAAATTCGCGACATTCGATGCTGAGGCTAAGTGCTATCAATTTCACATTCGTGTCATCTTACAATTTATCTTGCTTTGCAATTGACCCCGTCAAACGAATTTAAATCTGATTTCACCTTCCTTAATGATCACGCCTACTAGTCGAGATAGTTGCTTTTGTTGGTAATCCTAATTAATGTTCTTGTTAGAATTTCCGATTTGTATGTTCAAAGAAAGAATTGTTTTACTCCAATTGCAAAATGTGTGAAATCTAAGCTTGCAATTGTCATTTTTTCTGCATCTGTCATTTGCGTAGCTAAATTAACTTTTTGAAACGAATATATATCTATATCAACAAAATTACCTTCATGAACACCGTAAAGAAGCAATTACAAGTCAGTTCATTTTTTTTTATACGAGGTGCATTCCAAAAGTTTTAACTTTTTAGGAGAAACATTTATCAATTTCAAAGAAGTACAAAACTCTAATCTCTTTAGGATCCTCTAACTTCAATACACTTAGTGTTGCGGCCCAGCCTCTACGTAAAGGACCTATGGGACTTGTTACACT